AATGAGCCAAGCCGCTTGAGAGTCGCTCGTGAGCGGTTCGGTCAACGCTCGGCTCGAACTCGGTCAAAATCGAGCTCGGCTCGAGCTCGAGCAGCTCGTGGATTAAACGAGCACGAGCCGAGCTTAGGTATTGTAGGCTCGCGGCTCGACGAGCCGCTCGCGAGCCTTATAATATATTATATAATATATATAATATATACTCCGTAATATGATTATATTATATTTAGTATATAAAAATAATAATTAGGGGAGGAAAATTAAAATAGTTTTATAATTATGTATGCATAAAAGTTATAAAACAAAGTAGTTTAAATTTTAAATCAAACAGGTCAAATTCGAGATCAAAATTGAGCTCAAATTCAAACCTAAACTCGAGTTCAAATTCGAGCCTAAACTCGAGCTCAAGTTCATACTCGAATTCGAGCTCGAGCTCGAGCTCGAGCTCGAGCATCAGTTCACGTGTTCGAGCAGTGCTATCATTAACGAGCTCGAGCATGAACCTACCCAGGCTCGGGCTCGGCTCGGTTCGTTTACACCCCTACTTTTTGAGTGCAATAATGCCTCTCGTAACTTGACTCTTCTTGATTGTGTTGTCTAATTGAACTTGACTCTTCTTGGTCTGGAAACTATTTTTGGGATATTTTGTTGTCAAATAACTCCATAAATAAATGCCAAATGACATGTTGTACTTGTACACTTGTACCCTTTTTCAGTTTTGTCATTTTTTTCCATCGATATTGCAATAACTTCACTCATTTGTAGTTAATTTGTCCTCTTTTTTTTTTTTTTTTCACAAAACCTTTTTTTGGTATGATACTTTAAAAATGAACAATCAAGAGTGAACTAGATCACCTAGATCCTAATCTATTGTGTCTGGGTACCTGAAGCATCTATAGTTGAGTAAGGATAAGAGCATCCTAAGCATCTACGATACTAAAATATTTATATAAAATATTTCAACTCAACGCTCGCGCAAGTGTCTCTAACTATTGGAGATACTTGAAAGTATAACTGCAATATTCTCTTCACTTTATATTACCTTGTTCTACCTACTTAGTCAAACTAATTCTTTATTTTATTATTTAACATTTTCTAATAGAGTTTAAATTCAATTTTTATTTTATATGGAGTAATACATTTAATGTAGTTTTCAAATATATAAATTTTATTTATTAATACTAAATTAAATAGTATAAAAAATAAATTACACTGTAAATAACTTCAAACAAGTTTTATTTATAGAACTCTAACAAATAAAATGGGATAGAGCTAATAGTAGTATTTTTCTCCCTTCATGACTGATTTTGGAATTTTGGTGGTCACCTAAACCTTTTTCCGTTGATTGTAAGTAGTATTTTTGAATGATACAAACTTGTGTTGGTATATGGCAAATTATGTTGTGGACTCGTGTTTATGTGCATGGTGGACACGCGGTACATTCATAATTTTTATACTGTAGATTCATAATTTCTATACTGTAGATTTATAATTTTTAAACTGTAGATTCATAAAATTTATAATGTAGATTCATAATTTCTATACTGGATATTCATAATTTCTATACTATAGATTCATAATTTATGTACTGTAGATTCATAATTTCTAAACTGTATAGTTATCAAATTATGAACACATAGTTATCAAATTATGAATATGTTCAAAATATGAATCTACAGTACAGAAATTATAAATGTGCAGTATAGAAATTATGAATCTAAATTATAAATTTTATGAATCTACAATATAGAAATTATGAATGTACAGTATAGAAATTGTGAATCTAAATTATAAATTTTATGAATTTACAGTATAGAAATTATGAATATACAGTATAGAAATTATGAATGTACAGCGTGTCCACTATGCACATAGTGGACACGAGTCCAGTGCATAACGCTCCTTGGTATACAAATATGGTTAAGGAGTTCATTTTACTCAATTAGAGAAATTAAATTTTACAATGCCATACCAGGACTATGTAGTCTAATGGTATTCGAGTTGGACTTCCATTTGGAAGGTTGTAAGTTCAAGCCTCAGTGGAGGTGTTATTAGCTCTTTGTGTTTCAGTAGGTTGAGAAAGTATATGAACAAATACTACAATGTAATAGAGCTAGTAGCATTCCAAAAAATTTTACAATGCCATGTATTTTATAAAGTTATACTTTGTATTTTGTCAAAGATATATAGTAATAGAGGTAGACAATTTTTTAGTATGACCCAATTTTTTTCAAGTTGGACCCATTTGTGCCCCAAAATGGGGGTCGAACCCATGCACAAATGGGCCCAACTCGAAGCAAGTGTGGCTGGATGTGTAATATGTTGAGTTTTTGTAGATTGATTCAATATTGACAATCGTTATGCTGTGCATCCGTATGCACCATGCATGGTGCATACGGATGCCAAAACAACGTCGTTTTATTAAAAAACGCGTATCTCCTCTTTAAAAAAAATTCAGGTTCGATTCCCAGCAACAACATTATATTGTTCATTCATTCTGGAATTTTAGTTCATAGATTATGAAATTATAGTTCATCGATTATGGAATTGTAGTTCATCGATTCTGAAATTTTAGTTTATAGATTATGGAATTTTAATTCATTTATTCTGAAATTTTTAGTTCATAGATTAGATTATAGAATTATAATTCATCGATTATGGAATTATAGTTCATCGATTATGGAATTTTAGTTCATATGTTGTTGCTGGGAATCGAACCTGATTTTTTTTTTTAAGGGGAGACGCGCGTTTTATTAAAACAACGTCGTTTTTGCATCCGTATGCACCATGCACAGCATAATTTGCCCAATATTGAATCTAATCTGAAACTCAAGCCACTATATATACATGCTAGGATTTTCACTTTTCATAAATAACCAACCCATTTCGGCCCCCTTTTCACTCGACTCTCATAGTCGCGGTTACATGTTTCTCATCCCCTTACTATCTCAACTCTCTAGCATCGAAACGCTACGTCTCTGTTATTTAATTCTCCAGTCCCCCTCTCAATCTTTCAATTTGTTTAAGGGTTTTCACTTCCCACTTGTTTAATATTAGACAGTACAATTTTACAAACCACAAAATACACACGCATACAACATTATAAAAATAAAAATTCACTCCACAATTCCCACTAAGGGTCTGTTTGGAGAGGAAAATGACTTCTGAAAAATGACTCATTTTTCAAAAGTCATTTTCCTTTCCGATGTTTGGCTGCAAAATGGAAAACTAAATTTTGGTGTTTGACTCATTTTCTGAAAATGATGTAGAATTGTATAATTAAACATTTTATATAATTAATTATTTTGTTTAAAATATATAAAATTTACAATAATATCATAAATAATAATATTTATAAAATCAAATAATATTATTTATTAAAAAATTTAAAAAAAAAAAAAAAACAAAAAAAAAAGACGAAATGGTTTCCGCCGTTCTCTCTGGCTTCCGGCAGGAAAGGCGGAAACCAGAGAGCTCTCTGGCTTTCGCAGCCGGAAACCCTCGAAGCTCTCTAGTTTCCGGCGGAAGGAAACCAGAGAGAAGCTCTCTGGTTTCCACGGCCGGAAACTAGTGAATATTGTTGAATGTTGTTGAAGGATGGTGTTGTTGAATGTTGTTGAAGGAGGAAGGCTGGCTGCGTTTGTGTGTGTGTGTTTAGAAGATGGAAAATGACTTCCCAAAAAAAGGGAAAGTCATTTTTCGGAAATCAACCCTCATTTTTCATTGACTATCCACCATTTTCCTTTGACCACTTCATTTTCCGCCTACCCAAACACCAGAAACTCAGAAAATGATTTTCAGAAATCTTTTTCCGAGTTTTCAAATAGACCCTAAATTAATCTAATTTTAGGTTGAAGATCTCAAATCTTGGGTGCGAATCACTATCCAATCGCTAGTTACCACCAATCCACCTCATCAACATTAACTAAATATTGTTAGAAAGGATACTTGAAAGTCACAAATTTAATTTTTTTTTTCAAAGTTGTGATTTGCATATTATTATTACCCAAGTAAACCCTCAATTATAAAAAGTTTACAAGTTAAAATACAGTACTTCATTCAGTATATGGTGATAGCAATAAAAGTGAATTAAGTCCATATTTCATTCACTATGGTTCTGTTTGGCAGAGCTTATTTAGGAGCTTATATCTTATTTTTAATAAGCTATAAGTTCTGTTTGATAATGTTCCCAAAATAAGCCCCTAGCTTAAAATAAGAGCTTATTTTGGAACGCTACTTTAGATAGCGTTTCAAAATAAGCTCTTAGCTTCCTAACTTTTTTTTCCATCTTTATCCTTATTATTTTAAAGAAATGACATTATTTACTCTTCCCAATTAAAACCTTTTTCTCATTCTCCTTTAATTTATCTGCAACTTTCACCACAAATATTATTATTATTATTATTATTATTATTATTATTATTATTATTATTATTATTATTAGATTTGCAACAATATTGCTACTTCATTATGAGATGCTAGATCATGATTATGCTAATAGTTTTATTTCAAAATGTTAATTTTTTTTTAAAGACAAAATATTAAATTTTAATATGTAAACAAACTAATTTAAATTTTATGAGATGTCCTTTTTAGTCTTTTTACATTTATCAGCTTATCAAAAAACTAATTTTACCAAACACTTTCAATCATAATAACTAGCTTAACAGCTCTGAGCTTATAGCTTTTCAGCTTTTAGCTTATAGCTTTTCAGCTAGGTTTGCCGAACAGAGCCTATATTGTGAGACAATGCAATTCCGGAAAAAAAAAAAAAAAAAACAAAAACTGCGCCGATGTGGATTCCGTCGAATCCCGGCGCCGGAAAATCGGCGGCGGCTCTTAACCGGCGTCAGGATTTGACACTTGCTTGGACAGATATATTGGCCAGCTCGTATATCCCCCTCTAAGCATATTCCTAAGTTACCTTAAACTTGAATATAATCAACAAGAAACATGATTATACGTTAAAATCGAAGGAAGAAAATAAAAATCAAGAATCAAGGTTGCAGATCGAAGGAAACATCCATTGATAATATTAAGAAAAAAAAAAAAAAAAACCAGAATTATGATGGTATACATTGATAGCCCTGCCCAGGAAGCAAAACTCAATCACTTCCACCTCACAGCTATGAATCACAACAGAGAGAGAGAGAGAGTAAAATAGAGGAAAACAGGTTCCCCAGATGAGAGTGAGAGTGAGAGTGAGAGTGAGATTGATCACCACCAGCCATAAACAACCTGGGAATACTTGTCCCTAAGCCACCTGAAACTCCTCTTGAAAGAGCCCTTCACTTTCCCTTCAACAGAGTAGACTTTGTAGCTAGCCACCCTCTTCTTCCTCTGAAACTCCGGATCATTCATGCTCCATGACCTTTTAGTAATTGACCCATTTCTGCTCTTCCCCTTCTTCAGCTGCGGGGGTGGGGCCAGTGCTAGAGGTGGGGGTGACCTCAAATCTCCATAGTTGTAGCTCTCCATCTGATACCCATCTGCAAACGACTTTGATCTGTAATCTCCCATTATATTTCTAGCTTGATCTTCAACTGGATTCTCGATCTGCCTAAATATATGTGTTCGTTTTTCTTGTGTTTTGGTGGTTGATGGTAGAGCCAAAAGGATGAGAAACGCAATTTATTTTGTCAAGAGTGGGAGGCCAAACTGTTTGCAGAAAGACAGAATTTCAATTCTTGATTCTAGCACACTATGTAGACTAGATGCCATTCCTTCCGTGTTTAACAAATCAAGATTTGACCGGTCAATATAAGAATTGCCGTATTTCTGGGTTTTAAATATATATATATATATATATATTTTTTGCTCTCAAAAATAATTTTTTTTTTGTTGTTTTCAAAAAAAAAAAAAAAAGTACTACAATTTTTGGATGGGTTGGATAGCAACTCATCTTGACAATTAAGTGCACTAGAGTGACCGTCCGTCAATCCTACTTTTACCCTGAAGTTGAAAATTATTAAAAGAGATAAATTGCTGTGCTCAATAGTTGTCATTACATACATTATACTATTGTTAGTAAAGAAAAATAAAACTATTAACTTATTTCAGGTTTAGCATCAATTAAAATATGCCCTTGGAGCACACACTAGCCTTTTTTGACAAATTATATTGTAAATCATAATAAATGTTCATTTTTAATATACTGAATGTTCATTCTTAATATATTTTTAGGTAGTATATGAACCTTTCAATACATTTGATACATTAAAAATGAACACTAGATGTGCTAACAATGAACATTCGATATATTAAAAATAAATTTTATGTCAATACTCTATCTTATAATGTGGATCATAGTCTACCGTATAACATTGAGCCTTTTTTTTATATATATAAAAGTAATATTTTTTACTTTCAATCATAAATTTTAATGTGTTTTATTTTTTAGTTATCAATTTTAAAATAATGTATGTTCCAAAAAATGTTCTCATTATGTGAAAATTTCATCAAGTTTCATTATAGATAAAATTAAAAGTAAATATTATATATTGTGGGGCTGAAAAGTTAAATAAAAAGGGGGACTTTGACTACACCTTCTAACACGGCTGCTCTCCCCGGCATATCATTTCATTCATGTCAATTTCACGTGAAATTATTATTGGAAAATCCCTTGGCAACGAACATGAAATCATATATATATATATATATATATATATATATATATATATATATATATATATATATATGTGTGTGTGTGTGTGTGTGTGTGTGTGTGTGTGTGTGTGTGTCTCTGGGTGGGGTGGGGAGAAGAAAAGTCAAATAAACACCTAATTAGTAATGCATATGTGATATGTAATTATGTTCTTAAACTTTAAAAATTGAGTTAATTCCACTTTTAGTCCCAAATTTGTAAGTGGCATTCTATTTTTAGACATTTTTTTATTGAAACATTCCCTTTTTGTTCTAGTATTATTATAATATAACCAATTTTGATCATCTATCAAAAAAAATTATTGAAATTGCGTTAAATACAAGAACATTTCGCTCTTCAATTATGATTTTTTTTTTAAAAAAAAATAAACATAAAATATATAACGGGTCAACGCACTTTGTATTAAAAAGATCAAAATGTCCAATTTAACAAAATTTCAACGATTTTGTTGATAGAGGGCCAAAATTAGTCATGTCACAATAATACTAGGACCAAAAGGGGATGTTTTGATATTAAAAAAAAAAAAAAAAAAAAAAAAAGTAGACTGTCACCTATAAATCTAATACTTGACTGAAATTATTTCTAATTAAGGGGGTAATCAAATCCCATAGAAAACTCATTCCCTAATAAAATAAGGGTTTCATTCCATTATTTTCCCTCCTAATTGGTAATTTGATTTTTAAGTTTGGATTAGTGCTTTTAGATTTTTTATATTTTGTTCATATTGGTGTTTTGGATGTCGTTATATTAAAATAATAAAATGTCTTGATTTTTTGTTCTTGTATTTTTAAAATCTTTATCGCCATTATAGGATCATACATAATCAAACAGCAATATTGATAATCATTCTAATTTCACCATACTACCACACATGCAAAATACTTCCACCAAAACTCATTACCATTACCAAATATTTGATTCCCATTCCGATTTCAATTCCAATGCGTGAACCAAAGACACCCTAAATATTATAACAGTTAGGAATATTATGACTATGATCATTCAACCAACAAGGAAGCACATCTGGTGAACCTTACCACACCACTTTCTTACTTTTCAAATATTTCTTCTAAGTGCTAAACTTCTTGAGCAGCTAACCTCTGAATAATGACAAAATCATCACTTTCTTTTTGTGTAAAGTATTACTATACAAGTGCTGAATTTACATATTTTATGTCACACTTTTAGTTAATTTTTAAGGTTGTTCTTTGTATTAGTTTAAATTGGATTGGCTATTCCATTGCTTAACTGTTAAGCCATATATACTTAGTGATCCATTTACAATAAAGATAAAAGGGAGATAAACACGGAAAGTAAAGTAAGTCTCAGCATTGTTGACAACTGCAACATGAATGTTTGATTTTTATAAAAACATGATATGAAATTGGATCCCTTGCATGCACCAATATAACTTCAACATGGATGTTTAATTCTTATAAAAATATGATTTAGAATCGGTTCCTTGCAAATACCAATATAATAAGCTCTAGAGGTTTATTAAATCTACATTTGTATGAATTTTAAAAAAACTTTTAAAGACTTCAAAAGTCTAGTAATATTTAATCTAAAATTTTTAAAACTCTTTACGGAGTGTTTAGTTGAATAAGGCAAGTAAATTATTTCGTTTGGTTGGAAGGAATTGCAATTCCCTCATTTTCATAGAATTAGAATCTCATGTCTCATTGTTATTTCAATTCTTTGGTTTTTAAGAAGAAAAAAAATCACATTGATACAAAATTACTTTCTCTTATTTAACCTAAAATTAATATCTAACATCTTCCTGTCGATTGCATGATAATTAAATATGTCATGTTCAAGAGATACGGTAAATTAGTGGTATTTAAATATGTCCTTTTTTTCGTGTTTGAATATGCCGATGGGTCCAAAAAATACTTATCTTTTAAGATTAACAATAATAATAATAATATAATAATAATAATTGATGGGGTAGGGACCCCGGCCCAAGATAGATTGGCCCAAAGAAGAGGGTCCGAGATAGAAAAGATGGGCTAACGTCAAAAGAAGCCCGGAGGGCGCTTGGGCCGAGTCCAGGAATCGGCCCAGGCCCAAGCATGGGAACCTAGCTCAGAATTGCTAAGAGGAGCCCAGTGGGAACTTGGGCCGGGACGAGGAGTCGACCGGGGCCCAAGCCCGAGGAAAGACTCGGTTCAAGGAGCCGTTGAGATCATTGAGGAGACTCGTTTAAAAAGGAACCGTTAGGGCATTAAAAGCAGGCCTCGGTCAGGCTGTTACAGGCTTGAGAGAGCCGTTGTCCGACCTAGTGATAACGTCCAACGGCTCGATGCTTTAATTAGCTTTGAAGTCGGCCATTAAGGGCCTTTAAGTCAGTGGAGGGGGAGCCTGCTATATAAAGGCTCCTCCACTCTTGTAAAAGGGACACACGGAAAAAATACCCAGAGAGGGGAGTGAGACCAATTCTAAAGCAAGTACTTTGTTTCACTCAAATACGCATTTTATTGAAAGGTGTATCCTCCAGCTAAAGGTTGTGTTGGACCTCCTTGGGCCCGAAAACCCAAAAACCATCACTGGCGTCGTCTGTGGGGATCGAAACTAAGAGTCGCGTGTCCTCCTGATCGAGGCGAGTTCGAGAAACGACAAGAAGAATCTCGGTCGTAAGAGATCAGAAAAGCTCCTAACATGGCAGGAAGTCAGGAACAGTTAAGCCGACATGATAGCGGACTGGGGGCGGACTTGAGAAACCAATTGAATCGGAGAAACACTCGGAGCCGGGAAAACGAGACAACGCCGCCGCCAACACCACCGATAAACCAACAGCCGCCTCAGGTGCAGCTCACCCCAGAGAAACTACATGCGATCGGGCGTGCCTTCGCCGAGGTGAGCCGAGGAGTAAGAGAACAGTCCGTCACTCGTTTACCACAACGCAGTCAGCAGCCGTCTCATGGGCCCGATGACCGGCAACGGAACCGCCGGGCCGAGAGCCAGCCGGTACAGTCCATTCATTCACGGCTGGGTCCGAGCGCCGACGGCGGTCGGCGAGAGAACGGCTAGGTCGGAGGGAACCCAGTCGTGCCCCGTCAGTTGCTCGCGATAGGCAGACTGCACGCGAGAAAAACCGTACCAGAAGAACCAGGACTGAGGCTCGCCGCATAGAGCAGCCCGCCTGCAACCGCGACCAACCGGCCGAGTCGGAGGTCGGTGAGAGCACGGAATCGACAGGAAACCATGCCCGAGAGAGGGTCGAAGTGGCGAACTTAGTCCAAGAAGTGCGAAATCTGAGAGAGCAGATGGAGGGAAAAACCAAATCCCCAGGACGTACATTATTAACCGCCTTGCCCTTTTCGGACAAGATCATGGCCTTTAAGATACCGGGTGATTTCAAGTTTCCGGAGCAAGCCACGTTCGACGGGTCCGGCGACCCTCGAAAGCATTTGCTGAGCTACCAAGCCAAGATACAGGTCTTGGGAGTTCGAGACCCGGTCATGTGCCGCGCTTTTCTGCCCACATTAAAAGGCCCGGCGCAAAGATGGTTAGTGGCGCAGTCGCCGGGGTCGATTCGTAGCTTCGAAGAGCTAGCGGACCGCTTTATGAGTCATTATGCCGCTAATATCAGACCACAAAAAGACCTGACACACCTAGGCGACATTCATCAGGATGAAGGCGAGTCCTTAAAAACCTATCTGGCCCGTTGGCAGAAAGAAATCCAGTCTATAGAGGAGGTCGAGGACCAGACGGCACTCACCTTCTTCATCGAGTCCCTGCGGTCCGGTCAGCTATACAGAGATCTGCGGGACAACCGCCCGGCTACCTACGCGGAAGCCATTCATATGGCCAACAAGAGGGCTAACACAGAGCAGGCTATAAAACACAAACGACAGCGTGAAGTCGGCGGGTCCGCCAGTGGAAAGAGAACGCGAGCCGAAACCAAGGAAAGGCGCCCGGATGCGACCCGACGACCCGAAATCAGGCGACCATACGACAGGCCCGTCGTACACCCCTACCGGCCGGCTCCCGAACGGCCAGTGCATGAAATACAAGCGGTCGCCCCGCCTCCGCCTCCGCCGATTG